CTACCTGGGCTACATTATCTCCTCAGAGGGGTACTCCATGGGTCCATAGAAGGTGTCAGCTGTTTTTCAATGGTATTGACCTACTGGTCTCCACTCCATTCAACATTTCCTTGGTTTTGCCAACTATTATCGAAAATGTATCAGAAATGTTTCCTTTCTAGAGAAACCTATCTCAGACTTGACTAGGAAGGGCAGTGATCCACACAACTGGTCTCCTGCTGCCATTGAGGCTTTCCAAGCCCTAAGTCCCTATTTGCTACTGATCTGATCCTTCCTCATCCCAATCCTGCCTTAAATTTTTCTTGAGGTTGATGCGTCTGAGACGGGAGTAGGCACCCTCCTGTCTCAACGCCCTACGCCAGATGGTCCCCTACATCTTTGTGGGTTCTATTCCAAAAAGTTATCCTCAGCAGAGTGCAATTACCAGATTGGAGACAGAGAACTGTTGGCCATAATTCTGGCTCTCAAAGAGTGGAGACATCTGCCTGAGGGTACTACGGTTCCTGTTCTTATTCTAGCAGATCATGAGAACTTAACTTATCTCTCGGAGGCCAAGAGGCTCTCACCACGCCAAACCAGATGGGCTCTGTTTCTTTCTCGGTTCAATTGTGTGGTCTCGTATTTGCCTGGCTCAAAAAATTTGAAGGCCGATACCCTGTCTTGTCCATAGTCTGAGTTGTCCAGGGATGACTCAATGCCCACTCTGGTTTTTCCTCCAGATCATATCCTGGTAACTGTGTTTTGTACCTGAGAATTTACACATTAAACTGTTGCAAACTTACCATAACTCCAACACTGCTGATCACCCTGGTAAGAATCAGATGACTTGGGCTATTTTTTGCCAGTTCTGGTGGCCATTTCTCTGCACTGATGTCGCTTCTTATGTGGCCGCATGTCCCATTTGTGCGCAAAGCAAATCCCCTCAGCACCTTCCTGTGGGCCTACTACAACCTATTCCCAAATGGGGAACGTCCTTGGTCCCATCTAGCCATGGATTTTATTGTTGACCTTCCTGTGTCTCATGGTTATACTGTTATGGTTGTCAACCGTTTTTTTCAAAAATGTGCCATTGCATACCATTTAAGAAGTTGCCCACGGCTCAGGAGCTTGCCTTGGAGTTTGGTAGGGAGGTCTTACACAGTATACCCAAGGAGAGAGTCTTGGATCTAGGTAGCCAGTTTGCCTCTAGATTCTGGCAGGCCTTTTGCTCTTAGTTGGGAATTTGAAATGGAAACTCTCCTTCTCCTCTGCCTATCATCTGCAGTCCAATAGTGCTGCTGAGCGATCCAACCAAGCTCTGAAGCAATTCCTCTGCTGCTATGTCTCGGACCATCATGACAATTGGGCTGATCTGCTACCCTGGGCAGAGTTTGCTAGGAACACTGCTATTGACTCATCCTTCCAAATGTCCCCGTCATGGCTAACTACGAGTTTCAACCATCTGCGTTACCCGAATCTGTTATGCCTCAGGCAGATTCAGAATTCCCTTCATGCCTCTATGCAGTGCCAAAAGCTCCAGGCAGATTGTAGGCGTCTACCCGCTCCTTCCTACCAGGTTGGGGAGAGGGTGTGGTTGTCAGCCTGTAACCTTAACCTCAGAGTGCCTACTCCAAAATTGGACCTTTCCATATTCTCCAGAAAGTTAACCAGGTTGCTTACTCACTTGATCTCCCTTTTAACATTTTATCTCCAAGTCTTCCATGTGTTGCTTCTTAAGCCGCTGGTGTGTAATCGTTATACCACCACTCCTCCTCGTCCTATTCCTGATGGCAACCATGAGGAGTATGAAATACATAGCATCTTCGACTCTTGTCGGGTCAGGGGTCAAGTCCAGTACCTGGTCCACTGGAAAGGCTATGGTCCGGAGGAGCGTTCTTGGGTTTCTTCCTCTGATGTTCACGGAGGGGTCATTGAGGGGTGGGTACTGTCAGGGTTTCTTACCCTTCCTCTTCTAGTTGGCTGCAGCATGGCTTGTTTTGCAATAGGTTTGGCACTGTTGTTGGCGCCTCCTTGACGCCTTCTTATGACCAAACCCATAAACATCATCATTCTGTAATGACTGGCAGAACTCATGGAAAATTTCTTGCTGAGTGGTAATGCAAAGACCAGCTCACTATTTAACCTACAGCTTGTCCATTCAGTCTCCGCCTTTGTATGTGTTCTGATCTACCAAGTGCTCTGCAGTTCCTGTTTTCCGTGTCTGACTAACCATACTGGTCAGCCCGCTACCATAGAGGACCCAGAAGATCACCATGAGGATGCATTCATACGGGTCTTTCTGAGATTCCTTCTGCAATAACCAATGGATTCTAGCAGCTGGAATCCCAGGTGTGCCTGTTCAGATGCAGTCGCTGTGCTCATTCAAGTTAATGACAGGGTGACGGTGGCCACATCTGTCAACTGTAGTCCACATATAATCGTACATGGAACAATTACCTGCGGTTCGGAATACATGATTGTCATCGATCCTGAATTGCATGTAAATGATATGATTACGGTTTGGGATAGATGATAATCAGATTAGGCTGCTATCACCCTGTCATTAACGTGAACGGCCGAATCTAAACGGGGACACCTGGGATTTCTGCCGCAAAAATCCATAGGTTCTTGCTGCAGAAATCCCTGAACTCTGATTATCTCCAGCTACTACAGTGCTTTACAGGACCTCTGTGGGGTGTTCATATACAGTATAACAGGGCTCAAAATTGGAATATCTGGGTCTCCAAGTACCGGTCCATGGGCCAGCTCCGGCCCGTGAGCCGGTACTATGTTGCCCACAGCCAGCTGACATGTCAGGCACGCGGTCGCAGACCGCGTACCTAACTTGCGGGAGCAGCTCCACGGTCTGCATCTGTGTTGGATGCAGACCGCAGAGCTGCCCCTGTCAACTCTGGCTTCCTTCGGCCAGAGCTCTGACAGTTCTGAGCTCCGGCCGAAAGAAAGAATGTCTGTGAGCAGGATCGATGCCTGGTTATCTGATCCGTACGATTTTCGGCAGGTTTTCCAGCGTGCTTGGAAGACGAAAGTTGTGCGACCGTACAGTAGAAGCGGTCGCACGCTGCCCATACACCTGTCGATTATCGTACGATCGCAGCCCCATTCACACCACAGTATATTTCAGGTGTGATTAGAGATTCCTGTGTCAGGAACTTGCGTTTTCCTGCAGCAGGAATCCCTAATCTGCCGTTTACAAGTGGCAACTATCATAAAATAAGAATTATCGTAAGATTATTTAAGAGGGTGTGTTTAGGGGCAGAGTTAAGACACTGCACGCAAAGCTCCATGCCGGATAGCTTTGCTTCACTCTGCACGGCTTCGCGTGCAGTGTGTCACGGCCTTAAGGGTTAGGTGGGGCAACTGGTGGCTAGTGACTCTTAAGGCTTGGCTAGTAGCTCAGGACTTGAAATTTTGAGCCCTGATATATAATATATGTATAGTTACATTGGGCCAAGCTGGAGTATGCATAATATGTTATACCTGGAGTACAGCTTTACATTCTGCAGTCTACATCACACTGAACAGTCTAGGGGTTATATCTGTAGCTGTGTGTTTTTGCACCGATGCAATTATGTTTTAAAATCATTCTGACTAGAACAGTTGTTGTAAGGCAGTTGTCCCAAAGTACGTGCCCGCGGGCCAATTGCAGCCCGCGAGCCGAATACTATGTGGCCCGCAGCCAGCTCAGAAGTCAGGTACGCGGTCGCGGACCGCGTACCTGACTTGCAGGAGCAGCTACACAGTCTGCATCTCTGTCGGATGCAGACCATGTAGCTGATTCTGTGCCGTCACTCGGATCCTTTCGACCAGCGCTCTTTCAGTGAACGCTGGCCAAAAGGATTGGTTAGTAAGGTCTGCAGCAGACCTTACCAATCAACCACTGGATCACCAGGGATCAATGTGCCTCCTCACAGCCTCCTACCCTAGCCTGGTGTTTAAAAGTGGCCGCTGTCACCTATTCAAGTTAATGATCAGATGACAGAAGTTACATGTGGACACCTGCACAGTGCATGTAATGGTATGTGATATGATCACATTTGGTTAGGAATCCATCACTTTCCCCGGACCCAATGATTGTGCATCCAGGGAGAGTGATTCCTAACCGCATGTAATAATATCACATACCGTTACATGTGGTGGGTAGGCGTTTACATGCAGCTGCTGTCACCTGATCATTAACTTGTATAAGTGACAGTTGTCACTCGTAAACACCAGATTAGTGATTCCTGCAATGCAAGTTTCTGATGCCGGAATCCCTAATTGCACCTAAACCTACAGATATGAAGGGGGCCTTCTAGTGTGTGTATATTAGTGTCTGTAGTACCAAACCGGATATAGTTACATTTTATTTTAAAGTATGAAGTTTGGCAAGCAGCCCCCATGATAGAAAAAAAATTGTCGAGTGCCCCCGAGTGAATTGAGTTTGAGACCCCTTTTATAAGGAGTGAGTTTACAAGGCTATTCATTAATAATGTTAATGTCCATGTATATAATACATCTGCATGTGTCGAATCCAATATAATAATGTTAAATGTACCTTAAACTCATTATTATTATCAACTCATTATTATTATCAACAACTCATAAAGGTATCTTATACCCCTTTCAGACAGGTGGTTCGATCAGGTCCGTCTGTCAGTTTTGCAGGCAGATCTGATCATAAGCCCAATGTTAGTCTATGGACAGCCAGATCGAAACGGACGTGTGTCTGTGTACAACCGATTATCCCCGACTTCTGCCAGGTCCATTTTGGCAGACCTGATCGTGACAGATCGGGGGCACTTTGATGTAAATGGACTTGTCCGTGCATGGATCCCCTGCTGATCGGAACTGACAGGGGCCCGTGTGAAAGAGGCCTTACGGTACTGTGACTAGGACTGCATTTGCTGCAAAGAAAGAGTTAAATGCCTGAGCTGCAGATGAAATAGCCTGGGCTGACTAGAGGGCTGTGACGTGTCCTGGCTTATGATTGGCTGCTGTGCTCCACACCTCCCATCCACATGTCTCATGTATTGCATGTCTCTGTGGAGTGTTCTTCTTGCATCTGATACAATGTGGACTAGGTGCATTGTCAAAGGGTTACCCAGGGTGGGCCGGGCACAGTCCAGTGTTGCCCATCTCAGGGGTATACTGAACGGAGAGCTTGAAAGCATTAAGGAGGCAGGGACATGGAAGAAGGAGAGGATAATTACCTCCAAACAAGGAGCACACATTACAGTGGAAGGCACAAACACAGGTATTTGTTTTTACACAGTGTTTTTCGATTTAAATACAGTTTATTTAAACTTGTATTGCTAGACATCAACAGAGAAGCACATATGTGTATGTTTATCATTCTATACCCAGTGTTTTTTCTATAAAGAGGAGAAAAGGAAAATTGCCTTTGTTGTCCATAGCAATTACTCTTGATTGTTTTATTTTCAAACCTGTACCAATAAATTGTTTGTTATATTTATAGTTACTTTGGGTAAAATAGCTATTTTTGATTTCCTTTTCATATAAATGTTATAATGCAGGAAAATTAAAACCAGGCAAGTTCTATTGTGGAAGGATTTATTTTATTGTATGTACATTTTAAGCATTGGTATCATGTATGTGATCTGTATATAACCATTTCCCACAAAACTGCCGGGATACACATAAAACAATCATCAGAATAACATGTTTTAAAAAGTCAAATGGCTGAATGTATTAAAATCCTAAAGGTGTAGAAAAAAAAAAGGTATGAATGCAAATGTCCATACTTATGTCTTTAAAGCGGGGATAAAAGAAGCCAGGCATGCCACTTTTTCTCAAAGTAGAGCAACTGCTATCACAGAAGATTTTCTAACCTCATCTAATTGGATGTCCCCCTCCCCACAAGTAGTTGCTGCCTGTGTTGTGTGAAACCATCTGCTGTGACTACTATGGCTGTCGCCTGTCAGTATAGTATATACTATAGAAACACCCTTGGGACAGTACAGAACAGTTCCTGACATGTTCACCTCTCTTCTTATTGCCTTTGGAGACTCCTGGTGGTGGCGCTGAGGGTGATGGGATTATTTGTGTTTCGGAGAGTGTCTGTAACCCCTTCGTGACTGACGACGTACAGTGTACGTCGCCAGCATCTGGGCTGTTTAAACAGACTCCCGGAGTAAGGCTAGAGGTAACACAGGCAATTTTGTATTGCATAATCATGCAACTATGATTGCATACAGTGTATCTCCTACTTTGGAAATAAAATCATAGAAATATGACTGCTTTTTTTGTGTGACCCAAGCAAAAGTGACATATGCAGACTTGAAATGGTTGCACAGGCAGCAAGAACAGGGGACCTGTTGTGTTACTATTTGCGAGACAGTATTTTTGGATCTTGCTGCCACAACCTTAGCACTGTAGGCAACTAGGGTCCTCCTCTACTTACCATCCACCAGTACAAATGCCAATGACACCTAGCCTGAGCCACATGACTATGAAGCACCAGACACAGTCATCCACATCTGACAGTCATGTAGGCAGTTGCTAACTGCTTATATGTTTGCTATCTTGGTCAGATCCATCTTAACCACAGGGCAAAAGGGGCGACTAGCCTGGGACCCATAATTTACAGGTGCCCAAAGCAGCTATCCCTTTCACCCAAGCAGCAGGCAGGAGAGCAGCGGCACTGCTGGTGGCAGGGGCGTACTGGGCCTGGGGACTCGGGAGCGGACCTACCTGAGGCTAGAACATGGCAAAACGGCTGCGCAGGAGCCTTGTAGATGTGGGTGGGCGTCTTAAAAGTCCCCCACCTCCACATACACACGCAAACATGCGTCAGGTGCGCCTACATGCAAAACAGACGATTGCACCCTTTATGTTGCACATGCTACGTATCATCGCGAACGTCGGAGAGCAATAATTTTAGGCCCATCAATCACTGTTAACACTAAATTGATAAGCGTTAAAAGCTTTCAAAAACGTCGCCTATGGCCAATTTTGGGTGTGATAGATTTCGTGGGCATGCGCAATTTTAAGGCTTGATGTGTTTGGTGTCTATTTAACCGACGTGACACCGTGTTTTATATTTTACCAAAAAAATTGATAATAATAAATGTTTCATACATTTTCTGTACTTTTTTCATTTATATAGTAAAAAAAATTATAAAACACGAGTGGTGATTAAACGCCACCAAAAGAGAGCTCTATGTGTCCCCAAAAAATGATATAAAATTAATTTTGGTACAGCGTTCCATAACTGAATAAGTGTCAAAGTACTGAATGCTGAAAAAATGGTCTGGACAGGAAGGTGGTGTAAACACCGCGATCTTCAAGTGGTTAAAGAAGAACTTTAAAAAGAAAAAAAAAACATTGCAGTGGGGCTACCCCCAAACTGCAAGGGTTAAACGCTTATTTTTGTCTCTCTCCTCTTTCGCTGCAGCATTGGAATGTTCCTCACGTCCTCGCATCTATACACACTTGTATAGAACATGATGATTTATGGGACCTTAGACCGTTGCAGCGGAGGGGACACTGCAAGGGTTAAATGAGAATTATGAGGTGAGTGAAAATCACTCGGCCTCATAGTTCGAGCCGACGTGTGACTGAAACTGTCATACTTTGGTTCAATAGATCGGGAAGTGAGTGAACACATACAGTCGCTCGCTCACTTCTCGATCCTGTCCCTGCAGAGAGCCGTGACTGTCACTCACGGCTCCCTGCAGGGATTCCCCCTCCCCTGTCTGATCCTCCAGCGGAGGAGGGAGCGGGTACAGCTGGCTCTGCCTCTAGATAGGCAGAGCCAGCTGTCAATCATGCAGCTGGGTGGATCCAGACAGTAATGTCAGGATCTGTCCCGGCTGCGGCGGTCTCAGTATACCGCGAGCTGTAGCTCGCGGTATACTGAGCTTTGGGTCACGTGAGGACGTTAGTTTGGGTTCCCCCGTGACCATGGGGAGAACTATGGGGAAAAGCACTGACCCCATAGTTCTCCTTTAATAAAAAAATGTCCTGGAGTTTCTTTAAGGGCTTGTTCACACCTAATCCAGTGAGTTGCAGCACAGTTAGTTGCTGTAACACACTGGATCCAATAATTACAGCCTCCCTGCATTCTGGTGTGGGAGGGGGCATGGTGGTGCATTCAAGTCAATGGCACCGTAGCCACGCCTCCTGACCCACACCACAACGCATGGCGCAAAAATGCCCGCAGTGCAATCGCAGAAAATAGAGAATGAGAGGACTCTGACCCAACACTAGGCTTTCCTTTAAATCCTGTCAGCCTCATATCCTAGATCTTCCACTTCCAGAAGTCTAGGAAATCTAATTGCAATGGGTCATTGTACTTTGCAAATTTCCATTGCTGCTGAATAGGCCCTTGCATGGCTCAGTCTAAATGTAATACATTGGGCACCTTAGGGCATTTGACAAGCTGCAGAAATGTGCGCTTATTTTAAGTTTCTAGTTTCTTTTCTATATGCAGCTGCATATGCCCAAAAAAAGGCTGAAAAACATAAAAGCTGAATAATGTCATAACATAGTGTACCACTTTTTTGGTGTACAGATCTATAAGGAAGATCTAAAACTTGAATGAACTTTTATGTGTGCATGAATTTTAAAAATAAACACATTTGCTGTTTTGATTTATACATGTACAAAGGCACTGCAGCCTCTACACTCCTGTCAATTATCTGGGTAGTTGTATTACTGTCCTGTTCTAGACTGCTGATGCAAGGAATCCCTGTTGCTAGGGAAATCGTGCCCCTGGCTATCATTCCCTAAAACAACACGCAAAAAGCATGTGCCATGTTAGTAATGCTAGTCAACTTCAGTAGTAGAGCCATTTATTTGTTTCCATTGCTGCAATTCTACATTATAAACTGCAGTTACTAATCACTGATACATTATCTCAGTTAAAGGGATTGGGGCAGAATTTTTCTTTAAAAAAAAATTTGAAATTAGTTGGTATAAAATAATAACTTCCTTGCATGGTGTTATTTCATTTTGAAATAATTAGGATTAAATAAAACTGTGTTTTTACTCTTTTAGGCATTTTAAATTTTTGTGCCAATAATTACCTTGGCCTTTCCAGTCACCCTGAAGTTATTCGTGCGGGACATGAAGCCCTGGAAGAATTTGGAGCTGGGTTGAGCTCTGTGAGGTTCATATGTGGAACACAGGTGACTATGCTGAGCAATAGGAAAGTTGTAAGATTGGCAACGTTTATATAATGCACAGATTTACCTTATCAATTGTATCAATACTCCCAATTGGCAGCACTACATCTTGCTCAAGTCCTCAATATCGGTTACTGCGGATTTCATTAGTAAATCGTCAAGCAGTTTTGTTCATAAATGTGCCTTTTAAGGGTCTTGTTTTCTGCTGTTGTCTGTTGGGTAATTTTGTTTTACTTTTGTCAGGTTTGGTAGCTAATGCAGGTGCCATCTAAGTAATGCATTCAGTGCAATGTAAAGGCTAGGATGTGTTCCAGAGACTGAATTTAAGATGTAGAAATAACCCTTTCTAAGCAGATGCTTAAAAGCGTCATATAGGCTTCATTGTTTATGTTTTTTAATAGACTATACACAAGAGACTTGAGGAGAAGATTGCACAGTTCCATAAAAGAGAAGACTCCATCTTGTATATTAGCTGTTTTGATGCCAATGCTGGAATATTTGAGGTGAGTTTACTTTTCTTTTATCTGAAACATTTTTAGTTTGCAGAGAAAATAAACTAAAATGCAAATAGATGCAATAATATAAACTCATAAGAGGCATGGAGGAGCTCAGCTATGAGGACAATTTAGCTGAACTGAATTTGGTCTCTTTTTAGATGAGGCGATTAAGGGAATATGGTTACCATGTATAAATACATAACCTTGCACCAAGTTCACTATATAGATGGTTTATTTACTTTAAGATCATTGCAAAGGACAAGGGCCAAACCTCTGGAAGAAAAGAGGTTTACTGTTCACATAGGGAAATGCTTTCACAGTAACAACTGTGAAAATGCAGAATAGGCTGCCTCAGAAACTAGTTCTAGCCAGATGAGTTTATTTTAATAAAAATGTGGATGCATTCCTAAATGCGCAGAATATACCTAGGTATTGACATTTTATAATAATTGTGATCACTATTACCCAATGATCTGATGTAATAGTTAATAATGCTTAAAGGAGAACTATGGGGTTCTATCTTTTTTGAATGCATTCCTTAGGCTAAATAAGTAAATAATGTAATTTACTCTAATTAGCCAAAATGCACAGTAAGGCTGTAAAACCTTATTTTAGGTGGTGGGCGGATCCTGCGGATCCGATCAGCAGGGGATCTCCAGTGACATAATGGTGGGCGGGGCTAAGTGCTGCAATGAGAAGACATCCCGACGTATCTGACGGGATCCTCCCCACTGATGACTGACAGTGATTCTTGAGAGCTGCTGCGCGTCCACGAATATATGGACATGCGCAGCAGCTCTCTCCTTACCTGCACGTCCCCGTGTGCCAGCTCCTTCCCCCCTCTCTCTCCCCGCTGACACTGACATACCAAAATAATCGTGGATCGCTGATGACAGAGGGGAAGGAGCTCTCTCTCCATTGCAGTTGTTATGTAAGCACTGCTTTGATCAGCTTTCTACGTTTCTGGACCACTTCTAAATCTCATATTCCTTTAGGCAATGCTGACTCCAGAAGATGCAGTACTGTCAGATGAACTGAACCATGCCTCCATAATTGATGGCATCCGCCTCTGCAAGGCCATCAAGTACCGATACAAGCACATGGACCTGGATGATCTGGAGGCCAAACTGAAAGAAGCGCAGGTACAGTTTTATTAAGAAAACTTTGTAAGTGAAAGTCTGAACTGTGTTAAAAAAATGAGTGTGATCTAATTATGGACAATATTGATGCTTTAGTCAGCTTTTGGGGGTCATAATACTGCCAGAAGCATAACTACAATTGGGTGCTGGAGCAAAATCTGAACAAAGGCTTATCTCAGTGGTGGCGAACCTATGGCCCGCTTGCCACAGAGGGCACGCAGAGGCCCCCCTGGTGGTACACGAGCCTAGTCAGGGGCGTGGAATTCCTATCGTCCGACACACAGGACATGCAGTTCCGGGTGCTGGGTGGGGAGTTTTTTTTTGTACATGTAGCCCTGCTTCAGGGGAAACAAGGTTAAATGTAGAGCGGGGAAGCCGGTGATTTGGTACAAGTGATCCCGGCGATGCCACTGAGATCACTTGTAATAAGCCTGCTGCTGTGGGAAATGTAAAACGTTTGTGTTGGGTACACTCAGCTTTTATATCTACCCAACCTTTTCTCCTGTTATCAAGCTCCTAGTATTACACTGACTTCACTATGCAATTCTGTAGTACTCCTATTAGCACACATTGTTGGCCATCTCTCTCTTAGTTTAGAGGCGTTATTATAGGGGATTACATGAAACAACCAACCCAATACCACCAAAACAATAACAAACTGGGAACCCAAGTATGGAAATGTAATTGGGGTTTATGGATTTATGTTAACCTTTATTATAATAGACCTTTTACATTTTAAACAAACAGACCAATACCAATGTTAAAACTAATCGAAACCACCTGCTCAGTCTTCATGACTCAAGCACCAAGGACTTGAGGATCTGTATAATACCATCAGGTTACCACAGCAAATACTGTCTCCCCACAAAGGTGGGCAACAGTAACCCCCCAAAGCTGTGACAACAGAGGGCAAACAGCTTGGGCTGGACCCAGATGACAGAGACATGTAAAGATAAGACATCAATCTCTGTGGATGTTTCTGTGACGGACCGCCTGGTACCCCGACTGGGTACCTCCGTCATAAAACAGCTTCCTCTCCGCTGGAACCCGAATCCCAGTGTCCTCAGCCCAAACCTGCCTAATTATTGGACAGAACCAATATATTAGGACAGAACGCTAACCACTCAATCATTAGACAACACCAATGTTGAGTTGGAAAACAAGATCTGCTTTATTGAAGGAAGCACACAGAATTTATACCTGACAGGATCAGATTAGAGTTCAGTGTGTCCCCTCCCCCAGACAGCTAGGTGCCGCATTGGAAGTCTTTTAAGCCCAGACACTCTTTGGGATGAATGTCCTTAGAGAGGAGCTTAATCCCCTCATTGCAAACAATGGTCACTCCAGCCAGCCTGCTGCCTATAATGAACACAGTGGTGTGTGTCTGTAATGTCGGGGGAGACATACAGTATATCCACTCCACATGTATCCTAGTAGAATGGTTCCATGTACCCCAAGAGGTCTGAGGGGGGTCTCCATAGTTCTGGTCCGTAGGAAGGAGGCTAGCCCCCAGGCTCCTCCAGCAGCCCCAGTGACGGATCAGTCCGTCACAGTTTCCTCTAAATATCACCTTCCAGTCACTCTTTACAGCTGTCCATCACATCTGCTCAGCTTTAATCTCATAAGTAACAGCTGTTCCTGTAGAATCTTCTCAGTAGCAGAAGTTTCTGTAGCATCTTTCAGGAAACAGCTGGTTCTGTAGCATCTTCCCGATAACGGTTGTTTCTGGAAATTTTCTTCAATGACAGGGAGAGGAGAAGTCGTGTAAGATAAAACCGGAAACCGGCAGTGTCCAGACACAATCTGTACCTTTTTATACTAGTTTAACCACCTGCAGACCAGACACTGTATTAAAACGGCCCGTCCACAGGTGCATTTTTCTGGGAGGACGTTACCTGTACGTACTCCCATGAACACGTGTGTGCTCCCGCTGACAGAGCTGATCGGACTGGCTCTGTGATCGCTGTGATTGGTTATCACAGTGATTACATGGCAATGTTTACATTTCCAAGCCTTCCAGCTGCAGCAGCAGCATAAAAAAAAGTTTCAAATCTTTGTAACCCCTTTAACTCCCCTCCTCTCCTGCTTATGCTAGATTCATTCTATCTCTGCTCTGACCTGTATATTAACCCTTTCACCTCCATTATCTGGCACATCTGTACATTAAACCCTGCATCACTATCCCCTTACTGTATGTGACCTATACATTAGCCCTTCACCTCCACCTTCCTCTGTCTATGACCTGAACATTTATTGTATCTTGTGCACTATTACCAAGCTCTGTGTTTTAACCCCTCAATACCGGCATGTTTCTTAATTTCCAAATAATTGCAGCAAAAATCAGATCACCTTTGAGTGCCTACTTCCTAAAAAGGGGTAATTTCGGGGATTTTCATACTGTCCTGACATTTTTTTGTCAGAAAGAAAAGGAGAGCGCTTATGGGGGTGACAGTCCCACGGGGACACTGCTTTTGCTTAGTCTCTCTAGCAGAATGTTAATACAAGGACAGATGTGGATCCTTTCTTCTAGCTGTGAATAAAAAAATATATATATATATATAAATTACATTTAGTTTTAATTTAACATTAGGCAAAATATCAAATATACACAGTAATAAGAGGCTGATTTACTAAAGTTAAGAATCTACACAGGAAAAATTGTGTGAATATTCACTACTTTTATCCAATCATGTGAAAAAGCAATTCCTCCTCACTTTGAATACCCATTCCATTTTTTTTTTTAATAGATTTCTCAACTTCTTTAGTAAATTCGCCTTCATGAATTCTACTTAAACAGGCGGAATAGTTGCTCTGTCTTTGGGGGCTATGGGCTCCATGGGTCACTTAGAGGGATTCAAGTAAACATCTTGCTTTGCCCTGAATAAGCAATGCACTGGTTGAGAAATCCTAGAAGCTACCATTCATACATTTCCCAAAAACTACAGTTGCCAGGCTTTCATACTGACCCTCTTGCTTTAGTACGAAATACTGACCCAGAACAAGTACCCAGATAAGGACTTTTGACTTCTCAGACTTTTCTCTGATCTGCACATTTGTGCTGGCCGATTGCCTCAAAGTATTGAAGCCAGTGGCTGAGCACAACAGCCAAGAGCCTAACAGAAGAAGGCTTTCTTTCTCTCATGGCAGGTTTTCTTTAATGTAATTTAGGTGATTAATGAATTCAATTAAGTAGGTTATTCACACTGGAAATTCCCAGCAGCTTTCAGTGGAATACATGGATAGAGATTGCCTTACAGTCTATTAACAGGTTTGTTTTCCTGCGATAAAATGCATTAAAAGTAGACATCCTAATCATTTCTTTGTGGCTAGTTCACACCTATAAACTGCAGCAACATTTGTTATGTTATGCAGAATGTTTGCAATAGTAATTTGTGTTTTCAGTCTCA